GTTTAGAGAATTCTAGAGAGAATTGGCTTTGAGGGTAAAACAGTAAAGTGGTAATTTGGTGTGTAAAAAAGAGCCATGATGACGTCAAAGAGGTGGAATGTTGCTCCTTACGCACCCCCTTAAACTGACCCGCATCTACCTGGAGGGTTAGTTTGTCTCGCAGCGTTACGAATTATGGTGGGTGATTTTTTTTTGGAGAAGATATCGGTTGTCTGTTCAGTAGTTGGGATGTAGGTGATATCTAGTTCTTGAGATTGATCTTTTCCTTGATGAAGTAAAAGTTGATTTCACTATGTTTGGTGTGATCGTGAAATACAGGGTTGTTGGAATGCCAAAGCAGAGGTATTGTCACGGTGAATTATGGTCAACTAAGAGACGGGGACTTGAATTTTCTGTAGAAGCTGTCGAAATCAAATGAAGTTGGTGGTTGTTGTTTAGAGTGTCTGATATTCAGCTTCGGTTGATGAGCGAGCCACAATATGTTGTTTCATGACTTGCCAGAAGATGAAGTTGTTGCCATGGAGCTGGTCACCGAGCACTAGTCGCTTCAATCACATAGATTAACACATAGACTACTTTTTACATTGCAGAGGTCCTTCACCTAGCTCCAAAAGCACCACCATTAGATCTGCCGAATCTTTGAGATTCGAGGCAGGCATTGCCTTGAAGACATGTTCTTGATAGCACCTCGGAGGGGCGAGCGGCATGCCTGGATCTGTGAGGGCTTTGGGGTCAGTTGACCGTAGTCTGGGCCTCTCTTGATTATGAGAGGAAGAGGCAGACAAATCAGACAAACTAGTCGACGAAGCGTGCCATAGGAGCTATGTTCCATATTAGTGGATCAGTCCACCATACGAAGCACTGTAAGAGCCTGGTAGGATTTTATTAAAAAATCAATTCAATTTTTTAAATAATTTTGTAGCACTAACCAATTTTGTATGTTACACAGACCAAGAAGTTGAGTTGTGCTCCCTCTGCTGTAGATTTGCATGTCCAAACTCATCGGTGTCTAGGGACTGCGTAGTGGGCCATGGAGCATTCCCAACGAGTTGTTGTGGGTTAAAAAGCTTAAATTGAAAGTTTATTTTGACTTTAACAGTTGAAAGTATCAATTAAACAAGGATTTAATTATGGAAGAAGAGTTCAAGCAACTCTGGGAGAGGCACTTAGCCACTCAGGCCCAGACTTTCATCAGTAGCAATGGTAGTCAGTTTACCACTGCACAGTCCGAGTACGAGTTTTGGACTCAAGCGACAAGGAAGAAGAAGGAGAGGGTTTATGGCCTTTGAGAGAAGGGCATATCCTTAGAGGCCAAGCTCTCCCATGGTACCGTACTGAGTTCCCTGAGCTCCTCACAGCCAGACTGGGAGACTCTTACCAGGTAAGTGGCTGCAATGAAAGATGAGATCCATGAGTTGTTTGAGGAGATGCTAGAAAGCTAGCATAGAGTCGAGGACTCTATAGAGCACATGGTGGAGACTTCAACAGATTGTCTGGGCGAGCGGCTAATGACATCAGTAGAGGAGGAGGATGAATAGTTTTTTTTTCTTTTATTTGTAAACATTATTTTGAACATTTGTTGTGGAATTTTTGGTTAACTTTGTTATTCTTATTTAAGAAGATTTGTGACAGTATCTTCCATTTTATGAATGATATTTTCAGAGCTTTGATCTATGATATGACTGGATATAATATAGTATGTGATGTGGATTATGTGTTGTGTGTAGGTTGTGAAAATATAATTGATCTTCTAAGTTTTTTTTTTTTTTTATGTGTAGGTTGCATCCGTTTTGTGTCATGTGGATTATGTGTTGTGTGTAGGTTGTGAAAATATAATTGATCTTCTGAGTTTTTTTTTTTTTTCTGTGGTACAGTTTTGCGTCAGATTTAAATCCGTTTTGTGTCCAAAAATCTGATGCTAAAATGACAATAATATTCTGTCATTCAACGATATTATTTGCAACAAGTTCGATGGTAATCCAACGATACTCTTTATCGTCCAATGTTTTTAGATGCAAAATTTGACGCACGTGTGGCCTAAACCAATATGATGCTACGACAATGCAAAAATCGATGCAAATTATCTACGACGAAATATTTTGATGAAAAATTGACAGAATTAACATTATCGATCCCCGATGTATCCTCAAAAAATGGGATGTAAATCAGACTCAAATCTGACTATAAACCTAAAATATCGTCGAATTTTATTTCAATTTGCGTCTGATTTGGCCGACGCAAATTTACTTGATTCCTATAGTGAGACCATATTAAACTAAACCCAATCTTACCCTCGTAAAGTAGCAGAAATATCCATGGTTCCGTAAATGTGTAAATCTTGAATGTTTTCCTCATCTAAGTGATTAAAGTCATCTTTAGATAATATCTATTCGGGTTAGTATATTATTATTCGAAATACACATCTCATCATTTAGATTGAAATCTTTCGAGATATATGATGGATACAAAATAGAAAAACTCATTGCCCATTAATTAAAAAAGCATGTTTAAAACTTATTTTTACCAAAAAAAAAACACTATTTTAAATTTCTCACACCAATAATTTGCTTATTGTACGCTTTCTTCAAGAAAACAGTATTTAATATATTCTTTAATTAAGCTATTATCTATTGCTTTTCCGACATAAGAGTAAGATATCCACATGTTTATGATGTCTAAAATTTTAATTTCTATTACATTTAATAAAAAATCTAAAAAAAAAAATACAAAACTAGAAATACTTAAATTTATTTTCTTTAAAAAGAAAGAGTCATAGATTTATCCATAAATTCATGTATTCCTCTACAAAAAAAATCAACCTACAAAATGTGATCATAAATTGAAGTCATAATTATTGAAGTAGTTTGCAAATTGCATTTTCTTACCACAGACTATTTCAAGCCAATATTGGATATAATATATGGATACATCACAAGGATGCGGGCTAGTTTTAAAATTGAATTCCTGGCGAAGGAAACTATGTGCTTCATATTAAAAGCTATTATTTTCTCAATATATTTGCACAAACTGTTGTTAAAGTAATTGAAATGTTCACAGATTTTGCAACACATTGGAGATTTTTTGATGATTGACAAACTATTTTTAGGTTTTCTTACAAGTTTTTTTTATCTATATAGCGTGGGATACTCTTTCATCTGTGTTCGTGACTTTTCGGTGATGCTGAGTGGCTTTGTTGACTGCTTCATTGCAAGTGCTCCACACTTTTCTACCCAAGTAATTTAGCTGTATTAGTATTGTTGGTGTACTTTGGCTGTCAATATGTAAGGTTTGATGGTTGTTTTCACCACAATTCTTTTGCTATGCTTGGTCAAGTCTATAAAACTTGGAAGGGTATTCTTGAACAGATATTACAATTATCTCAATTGGGCGACTACTCTTTCACCGTCTTTGTTTTTTAGCTAGATATGCTAACAACCTTCACTACATAAATACATAAATTGATTAAATCTGTGTCGGCTATATCAGACGTAAAACGAAGGCAAATTTGATGATAATTGAGATTAACATTAGATTTGCGTCCGTTTTACGTCTTTTTTTTTGCAGGCAAATCGGGGGTTGAAAATGTAATTTATGTCACGTTTGCATCGAAAAAGCTCGACGTAATTTATTCCCGTCGTATTTGCATCTTTTTAGCATCAGTTATTGTTGAGGTCACACATGCGTCTGAAGGCGTGTCTAAGAAGTTTGTCGTTAAATTTATGTGTCGGATTACCGTGGGAATTTGCGGCAGATTATATTGAAGAAAGGCAAAAAATGACAGAAAATGATCGTTGTTTATGCGTCGAGATATTCCACACAAATCAAATGCTAACCTACTACACAAAAAA